CGGCACATGCTCCTATGAATTTTGTACAGGTACTTTGTCAGTAAAAACTACATACCATACTCATGGGCACTGACGTCTCAACACGATGGAGAACGACTCTGGCTAGGCTGACTGAAGGTGGTGAACTATGATGAAATATGCCCCTTCCTGAATGGTTTCAATCACTGACTGCCCCAATCTTCAAGAAAGGAGGATAGTGCTCTTGTGATAACCACAAGGGATTCAGTTTGACGAACACAGGATCTAAGATTCTTGGTGATATGACCTTAATCCAGTGGACCACGGATTCAAACACCACTCCACGTAACCAGGTTTGGGCTACTACGTAGGTGTAGCTCACTGCCTACCGCACGGATATGTACTAGGTATCTGAGTAGATTTCCATTCAGTTCTTGGTTTTATAATCATTAGACGCCGAAGTGAAGCTCGAGAACAACAAACCCAAAACATCCAGGAAGGTTTCAGATCAGGCAGTGGGTGTACCAACCAGATACTCACTCTCTAAGTTCTAGAACATGGGTACACTTGTCAGCACTCGACACAAGCCGTATTCCTTGACTTGGAGGTGGCATTCGACTCAGTCGACCATAAAGTCATACGGCATTTTGCGACTGCAAGGGGAGCCAAGTAAGCACATCACCCTACTGAAGGCTCTATGTTCAAACCCTCGTAGATGTGCTAGAACCTAAGGTGAAGTATTAGACTAGCTATGTAGGTACAGTGGCGTTCGTCAAGACTGTCCACTCTTTCCATTCTTATTTAACTTTGACTTTGGAGGTCTTCTCATCTGACTGTACAGGGATTGACCTCACAGGAAACTGCCTAGTCAGCTTAGAGTATGCAGATGAGAGTATCTAGGTGATGACGATAACAATGATAGACAATTTTAGATTTAGTATGCATTTCTAACCTTGAAAATCCAAATTATTGCTTCAGGACTGATCTATCTCAACATCTCACCTGACAACAGAGAGTGAAGTGTTTGAACACGTTAACCACTTCACTTACTTGAGAAGTTAGTTCAATCCTGGTTAGTCAGTGACTGATTGGTCTCTGTCAACTAATGTCACCTATTTCACTGTCAATATATCTGATTGCAAACTAAGGGTCAGGTGTAGTATGCAGAGGTTTACTCTCCCTGACTGTGCGGGTGTCAAAGACAGAGGATATGCAGACTTCAGGTGTTCAACCACCATGGCTTTCGTAGTATTTGGCCGTGCTGTAGAATCACCGTCAGTAAAGTAGGAGCCAAGTGTATAGTCCTAAGCAAAACGGGTGAGCCAATTGGCGAGGTTTTAGATCTCAGTCGACTCAGGTGGCTGGGACATGGTGGTACGCATGCTTATTAGCCATATGTCCCGGTGGACAATGTTAACTGAAGTGGGTTTATGCTGAAAAAGGCCAAAGGTGGTCAAAGTAAAACGTAACATCAACACATGAAGTTTCTGACAGCTGGTCTGAGCTGTGCACAGAAATACAGACTTGCAGGTTGAGGCCCATGAGATGGTTGGAAACTCTAGGTGACATGGCTAATAATGAATCTCAGTAAAGCCAGTAAATCCACATAATATCTTAATTGTCACATTGTCGTTATTTTTTTACTCCCTCCTTCTCTTCTCTTGTGATTTTTTACGAATATTGATCACATTTTTATATTTTGTTGTCTTTCATTATGGTGTCTTGGATCTTGATGAGCTGATGTACGGTGTGGTGACTTGAAATTTCAAGCAGTGTCTCATACACGCTGTCACACAGTGAGACAATATCATTAGCATATCCAATGTTGACAAGTCTTCTTCTTGATAGCAGATCTACCCCAGCAGTGGTAATTATGACATAGTTTCCTTTCATTTTGTTTTCGAAAGGCAAAATGAAGGCGATGAAACTGTTCTAAAGGTATCTCCCTAGCTACCACAAATTGCCTTTACCTTGTTAGTGCTGTTTTATTACGTGGTATGGCAAAATTTATTTGTGTTCATTTTAAGACGTAGCTCAATGGGTTCAAGTTATTCGACTATGAAGCAGTAAGTACTGTCCCACCTACTTCGACCTGAACAGCCTGGTATTATTAAAAGCCTTAACAATAAGTGTGATTGATACCTTAGCGCATAAACACTTGTGACAGGTTGACTTAAAATATAAGTAACTAACCTAGGCTAAAAAAAACCAGGCAATCAATAGGGAAACCAACACTCACTGGGCACGATTCGTTATCTACTAGCAGTTCATAACTACTACGAACACCTCAGTAACAACCAATTGATGGAGTTTGTGCACACAACGTTAAAAGCAAATTAAACATCATGTATCACTTCACTTATCAAACAACGAGTAACACTTCAAGTGGTTTCGACATTATCTAGCCACCTGAACCTTGACAGTTGGGAAGGAGTTGGGACCCGCTATTCAGTATCGAAAGCTTGAACGCAACTAAATGATTACTTGTTAGCTTATAGTCCACGGACCATGCCTATTAACATTTCGACAACTCCATCTTTTATAGGTAAAATGAAGTCAAAAGCTGCAATTCAGTTGTTAGTTGTATGCTATCCAAATCAATGGATCATCGCTTCACACCCAGTGTCGATTAGCAGAGAAGCGTACTTGGTACTGCATGGGGAGTGTTTGAATTAGGAAATATCTCGTATCTGTATGATCAAATGATATTTGTTACATAAACGTATATTTCCTCAACTACACACCCAATCCAATCACAGATAGTCAGATAGGTCAGCGTAGAACCTGGTACAGAAATGCATTGGTTTAAGTTACCAAATTTCATAGCACTACACAGAGGTGAACACAAAACAAGTGGCATCAAAGTAGACAAAAGTATATGAGAAGGAATAAACAAACGAAGGTTAGTGGAAATGTAAAAACTTCGAAGATGATAAGGATTGTATACATCTGCACCAAAGTGACTAAGTTTGAGCCATATTACCAGGAGCTCGCCAGTGCTGATTCTCATCCCTTTGAAGACCACAGCTAGGGAGTCTGTACCTCCCTACACAGCTAACACTAACAGTTAGAGACTAGATAAACGATCCAGTCATGACCAGATTCAAAATGAAACCAATAGATGACCACAGAGGAAAGGAGCTCAGTGAAGACATAAAAGTGACCTGGGGAAAAATTAACCACATGTGCAAAACACTATGTTTCGCGTGATCCCAGTGTGGATGGATTTAAGTTTTAGAACTTTATCGTAAATCAACTGAATACTTCCAGAAGTAAATGTAACATAACGTTTCCTTACTTATTTGCCCTAAGCATGATTGAAGACAGTAAAATTACCAGAATTACCATAAATGATTGCTTCTAGATGACATTCTAAAATGTAATTGGTAGGGCACATTTATAATAGTCACATTCTTTCCAGGTTTTTTTTAATAACCATTGTCTTAAGCTATTGAATATTTTCCGTGTATTGAGACTATTCATAAACAACTTTTCTGATGACTTAACGATGACGGTAAAGTAGTTAGTGTTTATTTAAAACACTATCAAACAACACAAAATTGCTTTAAAAAATCACTCAAGAACTCCAAACATAACTAACCTTAACTTTTAAAACGTGAGGATTCTATAAGAATCATAAAAACTAATTTGAAAATCAGTTGCAAAGGCTAATGGTGCTTAATTTTACTAACTGATAATAGTGATTGATTCAAATGTTAAGATAAAATAGCACATTTGGAGATGACAGTAACATATTTCAAAACGAATTCCATCAATAAAGATTTACAATTTCAGTAAATGACTTCCTTCTTGTACCTAGTACTTAATTAGTAACTATATTGCTTTGTGATTTTACCATGTGCAAACAACGCTTCAGAAACGGAAACTAAACACCATCAGTCCAATAAAATCTTCGATATTAGATCTATTTTAAAACCACACGGTTCCAGAGAGCGTAACTCATGGTATCCAAACCCCATTCCTAACGAGAAATATTGCTTTTAGCACTTGTGATAACTGAAAATCGTTTATTTTTTATACACCCATGGTTTCAGACTGTGATAATAGGTAAAATTGTGACTAAGGTATTGGTTGAACAGAGGAAACACTACGACTAACCAAATTATCTTTAACAGTGCATAGCTGCTTTGATACTCACTAATCACGTGACGGCGATAACATCCACCTATTATACTTATAACCTCATCCAGGTGCTACTTTCAACTGTGTGGCAACAACGGACTGACTGAAAAGTCAATTCTTACTGTAGCATAAACTAGATCTTTGACAATCTCACAGTTATCGAAGGTGAAGCGTTTAGATGAAAATAAGTAAGAAACAGAAATCCATAAATGTCGTAAGTCATCAGATTCACTGCTTTTGCAAGAACTCCCCTTCTCGAATCAAAAATATCGTCGAAACAATACTGTTTATTGACCATAATTGAGTGCTCAAGAGATTGATTCATTGTTTCAAGACCATATGGTCGATTGTTGGCTGCAGCTACGCAGTTTCCGCTTAACAATGAACACTAAGATGGGGCATTAGAGTTCTATTTAGCTTATTGTATTTGAAATAGCACACAGTGATAGCATTATTTACTGGATGACGTTCCGAATACGTTTATTGCTTATAATTGTCTGGAAGATTCAGCAGATATCTCATATCAACTGACGTTTTATTCTTACATTACTGATCATAGTTTTCTGATTTGTGGTCGCTTCAGTACTTATTCAGAAATTTTATGGCAACACCTAGTAATTTTGTATCTAATAGTTTTATGACAGTGAAACATGATGCAGATTTGTGGCCTCAATGAAGCACTTTGTAGAGATTTTTTCCTCCTGCGATGTTTCCACATTTAGTAACATATGCACCCTCCTGTAATTGTAACGTGTGTAACATTTTACAGGCATGCAAACTTTGAGACCGTATAGTTTAGTCTTTCAATCCAGATGCTATACAAATAATTGGTACCCACTAAAAAGGAATTATAAAATGCTAAGAACATTACATGTAACCATAAGATTATGTAACCTTACTTTTGCTTAATCCACCATTTACTTCTGGCTGTTAGACGTAAAATGTCGTTAAGAGTCAGATATCCATATCTTACTCAGACAGGGGCAACTGACAAACACCATAGCCTGGAAGAAAACCATTTTACTGTCTCGGAAAGCTGTTGATAAGTTTTCGTCTAGCCTGTAGGTAGGTTGGTACGTTGTTGCAGGGTGGGGAGGCACGTAGAGGAGTGAATTTAGTGGACGCGAAAATCTGTAATGGAAAAGAGGGAGAGAAACGTGAGTCGACAACCCAGAAAGTACACGACATGTGCTTCAAACAGTCCAAGCGTCTACAATCTGTGAATCCCTACTTCTTATGGTTGACCTGAGTACAATTAGAGACAATAAAAATTGGGGGATGAGTCTGAAAGTTAAGTTAATTTTGAGCATATCCCAAGTAAGTATCATCCTGGCATTTAAAGGATACAGACGAAGTAGCCTGGATCACTTCTTCGAGAAGAGCATTCCAGGGTTTAACAACTCTTACGCAGTAAACGTTGTGTCTGATATCTAACCTGCTATTTTCTAGGCTTCGTTTCTGCATGCGTCCTTTAAGACTGATGCTACAACTAAAAATCAACAAGTGACGGAGTGGGTGTCCAGAGATGTTCAAGATGCTGTGAGCCATTACCAAGTCTTCTCTTGGTCTTACTCACATTTAATAGTGTAAGACAACTGAAAAACTGCGGAGTCTGACAGTGAAGAGATTAGAAAGTCTAGAAATTGAAACTGGAAAGTGGATACGTAGGCTTCGATTGCATTACATTGTCTAAGAAGCGCAAAATCATATTAGCGCGCTGACTCCAATATACAACGCCCAATATCCAGCGGCTGTTTTACGGAGTAACACCAAAGGGCACCCTAGAAGCTGCTGAAATAACTAGTAAGGTCCCACAATTTGGCTGAAGATATAGCATTTGCTTGGGTGACTTTTAAGGTCTCGCATTTTACCAATTTGAGTAGACCATTTGTCGATATCAGTAGTGCCCAAGTGAGTTACTGATAGACCTTATGAACTGACACAATTGTCCAACTATCTTAAAGTTCCTCGTGAGGCGGTTGTAGATATGTGACGGTAAATTATTTTACAAGTAGTTTCCGATGGCTTTTAGGTAGTTGGTAAGTGAACGGAAGATTTCACTTGGAAAGCTTGAAAGTCTAGAAGTTATGAACCACGAATTTTTCGGTCATTAATCCGTGTAGAAAGAAACTGGAAAGACAGGTTTGTGATTTTGTAGGAAGAGTAATTTGGTTGTGATTCAAACCACCCCCACATCATAGTTGGATTCCAAGTCTACTTTTGAGTGATCCAGACGAAGTAAGCTGAACCACTTCTATCGATAAAGCATTCTAAGATCTAACAACTACTACGAAGTAGAAGTTGTGTCGTTTAGGATCAGTGTCACGCTTAAGGTTGAACGAGTGAAGAATTGGGTGTCCATAGGCACTTCATCAAATCCCACCTTTGTCTTCTATATTCCGGAGGATATCGACCAATCACTGCCAGTTCCTTCTCGTATGTTTTCTCCTTAATCCCCAGAACAGATTTGGTCAACTTCTTTGGCGTGGATATTCAACCTAGTATGCACTTTTGCAGTGAATTGGGTGGAAACCATTGCCCTGAACCCCAGGGGAGGCCACGTGAAGCGGTCAAAGCCCGAGTGAAGATACCTGGGATACAGAAGTTCAAATTTCATCTATGAGTTACCGGTGCCCTTTTGGAGCGAACTTCGGTTGTTTGGCAGCTAGCATAGGATCTAGATGTTGAGGGACAGAGAACTTAAGCCCTTTCTATTGATGAAGCTTCCAGTTCTTTGTCACAGAGACTATGTATGCTGCATGTAAGCCCACGTTTTTCCAGAGCTAAGTGTGGGTCCATTGCAGTTTGCCTGTTCTAAAGCTAGATTGAATCTTCCAGTAGGAAAAAATTAGCTTCCTGATTTGTAATTTTCCCTCATGGTCTTAGGTTATCGGCGAAAGAAAGGACTTCAGGAGAAACCCCTAGAATAAAAGCAGAAGAGGCCCTTTTGTTGAACCCCTAGAAACTCCACTTGGACGTTCTATCTCTTCGGATATGGAAAAACTTTCTGAGACTCTAAGTACGTAACCATGTGAATATGACAATAACCAGTAGATAAGTGACTGATTGACCACAATTGGCCTTGGTTTATCAGCAAGACAGTCGTGGTTAACACTATCAGTTGTGATTAAAAAAGAATTATATTATATGTAGTGTCAATTCTGCCTCGATGGTCAACAGTGCTAATCCACGTGCCTACCTCTGCAGCACAATAAGGTCGTCGATATAAAGCTATTCCTTAGTCTGCCATAAATTACTGACCTCTTTACTTTGACCAGATTAGGTTAGTCCTTCGGTTGTTTTGCTGACCTCCGAAAAATGACAGTGTTATCAAGCTAACAGTTACTGGGCACTTCCTCTAGATTCAGAGAATATTTGGATGAGCTACTCACGGTATCCCCAAGGTGTGGTGATCCTTCCCGCAAAAACGCTGAACAGATCTCGTCTGGTGGATCATCACCAGTGAACAGTTGCATTTTGAGCTGTATTAGCTCAGTTTTTCAGTCAATGAAAGCAAGTTCCTCTTTACGGATTTCTGCCGACTGTTTCCAACCGGCTAGCACCCTTAATAGTGTACGGTGACGGTGAGTCTCCTGGCCTAGTGACCACCTTGAGAAATAATCAGTGAAATTCTGTTAGTACCGGGGACTAGACAGCATTAAGTTGGTCGCTGGCCAACCAATACAGTCTGTATGTGCATTCATTGACGCTCCTTTGGGGTCTGACCTTCCGGTATCCTTTCAACCTCGCGAGTGGCTCTGCGGTTTCGAGTTACTTCCCTTGTTCGTTCGGCTTTCAGACTCCCAGATCGGTCGGTGAGTTTTCACATCATTAGAAGTTCAATATATTTGCATCGGATGTCTGCGCTGTAGGTTCACACGCTGCCGTCAAAAAAACCGACCGAACAGTGAAATGTTCATCTTCGTTCGCAAAAGAACCTCCTTGAAAAAAGCTGTGGCATCCTCACGAACAACCTCGCCTAGTTAACTAGTTCACCAGTTACTAGCCAGTCCTAATCCCGGATAAGGAGGGAAGGTTGGGCATAGGGATAGCAACCCTACCCCGTAAAACCAATCCAATAGCTCAAGGAAGCTCAAAGCACAAAGAAAATATAAAATAAAAAAATATAAATTCTCACATTAGTAACTTAACATGGCAGAAGCCAGCTTACAGGCACACCACGTTGATATATGTCGAAAAATCTACAAGAATTCACGAGTCCTGAATGGAACAGATGGAATGTCATTAAACCCTATTTAAAACGGCAGAAGATCCTGCTAGTTACGAAACGGGCAGGAAAACACCTTTTTCCAGCGTATACAGTGTCAAAGTTTAGACGGTAATAAATGTTGTCCTCGTATGATGTATTTAACTTTAGGGATAACAGTTTACAAGCATCGTCAAATTGATAATTAATGAAGGCCTATAAAACGTTATTTAGTACTAAATACTTCTCTTATCAAGCCATTAAGGTGCATAATCTCATTGAAAGTGTCTGCGGTTCGCGGGACAAGCGCGGATTTTCACCCACCCCCCCCCCCCATCACACAGATAGGCTCCACTATCAATAACAGGGGCACTCAATGTTCGAAGTTTGCGTTACAACCAGCCGACGTTGTTAGTCCACCCGCACGCTTCGTTGTTTAGTAACATAACCGCCTATTCCTTAGTAAGTTCTTCAGCTTTTAGTTTTGCTGACCACAAAAGACCAGCTCATACCATAAGAATCATCAGTAAGTATCCACAGTTATATAACCAAGGTGAACGTCTAAATTAGTGTATTGCCAGTTCACTATGTTATGTTTAAAGGCAATATAGATTAATTCCACCGGGAATACTTGTGGTAGTAGATGGAAATGCGCTTTGAAACAGTTAATAGTCCAAATGGCAGCAGTTAAACGTAGGCTTCAGGTATGTTTCATATTAGCGCTATCGGCATCATTCGAGAAGCATATTTGATGCATCGTAACTTTTACCTGAAAAGAGCACTTGATACAGAGTACCAGAGACACGTAGCTTGGGACAACGGCAGGTAGACCGTGTTCCAAGCCGACGGGTAAATTGGTCTTGTTTAGTCGTTTGCTCAGAATACCTGGGCCACTACGACTGTTGGGAAAGTTTAGATGGTGAGATGATTCTGAAGATTTTCCAGAAACCTCGAAAGAGTGGAAGCAGTCCAGTAACTAGTGGCATGAATAAGCAGGTATTAGTTCCACTGAGTGGATATGTTCAGATTGAAATTGGGCGCCAAATATCATCATGTGGCTGATGCTGCAAATGGGAAAGGAAAAAGAAAGCACGCGCAGGTATGGAGAAGGAAATTACTACACTATCTGTTGGAACTTTATGTACATTTTCGTGTATACATGTAGAGTCAACTACACAGCTTTTCAATTACAGGGTTATTAAAAGTTTCCATATCCAGGTGTACCGTGGTTCATTATACTGAGAGGAGCCAGTACTCACACCCTTGCATGCAATCGTAAACCCATCAGCAATGAGGGAACTTGAAGACTTTCATAACTTTGATTCATACATTTAGAGGTTTAGGTATGTTCACGGTCGATGCAATGGCTCGACCATTATTACGGGCCGGTTGCTCCATTCTACTTCATATTTGTGGATATAAATATGAATGTGAAGTAATTTATGAATATTCGTGAACTGAAGGAATTCGTTGAGTAGACGTTGAAACCGAAATGGCGACATGCAAGCTAGAATACAATGTGGGGATTTATTCCGTAACTTGCAAGATTGTATCATAAAGAATCGTGACCTAAGTTCAAGCCGGCTTTTTTCGACAGGTACAGTGCACTCAGGGTTGCGTAGACTGTATGAGGACGTAGGCTTAAAAGCAGGAGAGCAACAGGCATGAGGAATACCACTCCAAAGGCGGAAAAATAGGTTAAGGTTACGCTTAAGGCGTCTTAGCCAAAGTGGGTCATTCTTCAGCTTCTCACGCCTTCCTTCATAATCGAGTTCTCCATGACCGCCCAGTACAGAGCGGGTAAACTTTCTTTAAGTATTCTCAACGCGCTTCCTATCCTAAGCAAACATATTTCTGAAGATGATAGTGCCATATTCAAGCGCTGGGTGGATCATTACTTTGAATAAAAGCAGTCTAGCCTCAGTGGTAAATACACGTTTTAGCAAAAGGTTAACTGAGCTCCTACACTTGGATACAAGGGATTGAGCATACTCCGTTAACGCTAAGTTCCGAGATTACCAAATACCTAAGTCACATAGCGAGCTATGTGATTGAAGCACACAATCACTGAGGCGTAAACTGATGTTTGGGTAGGAAGTAGTGAAAAAGAGAATTTCACGTTTACTAGAGTTGAGTGGATTTCACCAGATGGACACACTAAAAATCAAATCGACTTTATCTCAATCTCAAGAAAATGGAGACGCAGTCTACTTAACACAAGGTCAAGAAGAGGAGCAGATGTAGGTTCACACCACTATCTAGTGCAAGGAACCTTCCAAATCAAGTTAAAAGCCTTCAAGGAAGCTGGTGATAGACCTCAATTCAAGTACAACACTCGGAAACTGAAGGATGAAACTACAAAGGAGATCTTCAAGGCAGCCATCAAGACAAAATGGGAGATATCGAGGAACATCCCTGAAGAAACCTGTGTGGAAGAACACTGGAAGCCTTTGAAAGCTATGTGGAAAGAAACCTGCACAGACGTATTAGGAAAGAAGAAGAAAGAAGATGAGGAATGGATCTCGA